CGGAAGATGACAACGTCAAATTTCAACCCATTCATCGGTGATTTATTAAGCCGCTCGCGAGTGATAATTACCAGATTGTGTATGTCATTATGAAATAACTGTTTAAGAGATTGCGCTATTAATTTACATATGAAAGATAACAAATATGATAGCGAGAGAGTTGAATCAAGGCAAATTTGACTATTGAATTTGTAGGAAAAATCAGTGACCGTGTAGATTAAAAATAGCTTTGAATCTGAATTGTTTGCAGATTTATGTCATTTTTACGATTCATGTCATGGCTGATTTTTTTGTGCGAACCTAATAATGCGAATAATCTATTTTGTTTTAGAGCTTTGTTTCGTCTCCACCTTTATCCAAGAGAGATATTGCACATTTTTTATGTTTAAATAAATGGAAAAATAGATAGAAAATTTATTCGCAGATTTCAGGCCATTTTAGAGCCATAGTACTTGAATAATATTTATACGATTTTTAAATAATTGTCACGTATATGTTACGAAATATAATATAAATATATTCTAAATTTATTCACAAGGTTACGGCGTGTGTGTTGCGCGTAAAGAGTATAATGCAACGTGTCATTGAGAAGTTGTATAGTATTGAATTTACTAGAAAGATTTTAGAATGTCGTCACATGTTATGCGAGCTTTCGAGAATCTTCGGTACTGTCGCGAAATCTTGTAATGAGCTTACCAAGTCGGGAAGCCTTATATTGGCACGTCCCGCGGCAAAGTAGACGCGAAAAGTGGCAAACCGTTGCTGGCAGTTGTGCGTGCGTCACGTGCCGGGATTTCATGCTCCGTAAAAAGCCGTAAAAAAAAGCGAGCTGCTGAGAATTACGATTCGTAACACATTCGCACATATCTGAAAGATAGTCGACAGAGATCAACATAACACGGTAAGTTTATCGATAACATTACAATTAAAGATACATGTGGCCGCGAAAATTGTTTTATTTTCACGAAATTTAATTTTTATCCTACTTAGAGAAATATTTATATATAAATATAATATTTCATTATATTTTTTTATATTAAATTGGTAAAAATATCTATTATTAAAGTTAAAATCGAATATTTTATAAAATACTCTTTATACTTTAATAACTTAACGCGGGATAATATTTAGCACTAATTGCTTCAGAAATAAATGTGCGTTAAGAGATCGTCACAATGTTACCTTAAAGCCGATAAAGTCAAAGTCAAGTAATATGCCCTCGTTTTCAGACTCATTTTCAATTATAACTAGCCAAATATTTGATGGGGCGAGATATAATATTGATGCGATGATATAGCCCGAGCTCGCAAACGACGGTTTATGTGTGGTGCATGAAAGCAACGGTAGAGAGATTAAACTTTCGTAACTACGCATACAACAGAGTGATTCCCCACTTACGGCAGAGGGATGCACTGAGAATGAGGGCTCGCCGGACGTATCACTTTCCATAGAAATGATCGCGCGCAGCTCCGGGCTGTCCTTTGCCGATAACTGTCCCGCCGTTGCAATTTCCACGTTCATTGACCGCAAGCTCCATTCCTCGGAATTGCGTTGCCGCATTTCATATCACTTTATTGCGTACAGATTGTACAGTAAGTGGTCTCGTGCACAGAAATTTAAACTGACTTTAAGAGAATTTTACTTCGCGCGTTCTGTCATATATGTAACTACACGTTGATAGTATATAATGGTATATATATATATATATATATATATATATATATATATATAATCAACTATCCAATACACTCTTACATCTATTCACATAATATATTCTATATCACAATAATGCTATTATATTTTTTTACAAAATATAGAAGTACCGAGTGGCGCACCAGAACCTCCCTTGTTCACTGAACGTTTCCAAGAGGTACTTGTTCCCGAAAAAGGTACCTTTAAGTTAACCGCCAAAGTAACTGGAAATCCTGTCCCGGAAGTTATTTGGCTGAAAAATAACAAACCGCTTGACAAATCGCCCAATATCATAGAAAGTTACGACGGTGAAAACATCTTACTCGAAATTAGAAATGCGGATTCAGAAATTGATACTGGAGATTATAAATGTGTCGCCAGTAATCCGGTCGGAAAAGCTTCACATGGTGCAAAAGTAACGGTAGACGTTGCTAAAGTCTCTTTATATATATATATATATATGTACCATTATGATATACTATCAATATGTAGTTCTCTTTTTTACACGCGCATCGATCGTTTTCGATAACAGACGAAGAGTGCGTCGATGCGTAGAATAGGAATAATGATCGAGCCAACTTTTCTAACTGGGTGTTCGCGATGGACGACTTCGGAAGTGGAGCATTGGACGACATTGTACTGTTACCTCATAGTGACCAACTTTCCGTTCGTGACGTAACATACCCATGTGCCCATTTAATTATGAAGCGAGTAATTATGCAACTATTGGTAACAGCCGGCAATGGACCTGGAGATCGATTTTCCTCTTTTCATTGTGTCCTTAATACATCTTCTGCCATAAATATTATATTATCAGAATTACTTTATTAAAACATATAATTATGATTCTGATTATTATAATTATTATTTTGATTATTATAATTACTAGTCTGATTATTATAGATCAAAGACAATAAAATACTTCCTTTTTACAACTTTGATGCTGTCCGTAACGTTTTTATGTCATGATTTCATACGATTTCGCCACTCACAGTGAACAAACAGCTTTTATCGGCCTTTTACTCTTCGTGACGAAGCATGTGATGTCGTAGCGTTTGTATGAACTGAAACAAATCAGTCGTCTATCGATTCGCTCTGCTTCTACCGGCACACCCTTTACGAATCATATGAAAGCGTCGATAAGACGTGGCACGTTCTCTATCAAATACAATTACAATCAATCGTTGGCCTTAATACGTTCTAACTTGAAATCTGCCGTCCACCCGTTTTCGTCGAGCGAGCTCGCGAGTCATCGTATCCCTATTATTCGTCGTTGAATTGTGAACAATAGAGTCAAATTTTGGTAACCAGCCAGTCAGTCATTGAAAAGGTAAAAGGGAGGAGGGACTAGAATGGGAGAAAAAGCGGAAAATAGAGCATTATATAGAGATCGTGCTCTGGTAAAGGCTGTTTTTTGTCTCGATAACAATTATACTATTCTTTGCAATTTATTCAATACGATATGTAACGCGAAATTCAATTTATCAGGATCCATGTTTATTTTTGTAGCTTCGCTTTCTTTTCTATATTCTCGAAGATGCAGAGAACGAGATAGGAACGAAAAATTATTAAAGCTGCTTAAACTGCCGCAGATCGAGCAAATATTAGCGAGTTTTGAATCGCATGCAACTAATGTGAGCAAATATTACGTAAATTGCAAATTTCCTCTGAATCCATTTTGCGATAAATGGCATTGAATAATAGCGATTTATGAAATAAAACTTGTAGTTTATTTTGTCACAATTTCAAAATGAGATTATATATATTACTACACATTCAAATAATTTCACCTAATATTTCATAAATTGAAGTCACTATTACAACATTTTATCTTGATCATATGCGAAGAACCGCGAATTTTAATTTTGCATGTCGAAAAGATTGATAAGAAGTGCAAATGTAAGCTCGAAATTTGATCATCTGTCATGGTCATCGCACCCACTCTCAAGTATGCGTATTTCCTCCATATAGGAATGCCACGTGCGACCGTGTTCACGCACACATACATTTCGGAAGAAGAATATATGTTCTTGATTCAACTACCTCCCACATACATTGGCTTCATCCTGAAGCCGATTATCGTAAATTATTATGTAATGAGACAACTTCCCTCAAACTTGTGACCTAAATTATTAATTGATAATCAATATTATGCGCTGGTAATAACAATTAACGAGGCGTAGTGATCAATTTCCCCGATTTGGATAAATAAAGTTAAAATTCTGAACGCATAAAAGTGATTTTAATAAAAATTCATAATATTCCGGCGGCTTTAACTTTCTCGGCACTTGTAAAAGTGATTCTGCCTCTCGATCTCACTCGATTATGTGTCGATAAAAACGTTACATGTTTCTATTTAATAAAAACATGTTATTTTCATTAGATATCAACAATTTAATGTACAGAGTACCATCATATGTTTTTACAATGTTCAACATTGAAATCGATACTTGCAGATGATCGCTGCATGGTCATTATGAAGAAACGCGGAAACAACGAGAACAAGGGTAATAAGAGTCGTCAGAATGCAAATAATGCAACGGAGAAGTGGGATTCGGGAGATGTGAGCGATGACGATAATCAAGGCTTTGGAAACTGGCTTCGGTCCAGTACCGGTGTCGAAATGTTGCGACTCTTTGTAATCGCGAATTCGATTTTGGTCTTTGTGACCATGGGTTGGCCGAATATGAAAGAATCTTTCTACATAATCAGAGATTACTTCGTAGGAGAAGAGGATTAAATTAATCAACGAAAAATAACTTATAAAGAAAGATACTTAAAAACAGCGTTATATAAATTTAATCAGTTTTAAAAACAAGTGTATTTTTATAAGACAATCTTATTCCTCAACAATAATCCTATTTATTACGATTGTTATATATTTTAACGTTGGCTTTATTTTTATCTTTTATGTCATTGATAAATCTAGAGCATTATCACAGCATGAGTTCTTTAAAATTTGACATTGATATTAAAACAAGCATCGAAATCGATAAAAAAACAGGTAGCAGATAATTATTGAAATTGATAGATTGCTATTTCGTAGAAATTATGTTGCTTATTGCTGATTATACACGTAGAATGTAAATAATTTATCTTGTATTTAGTTTATCTCTCTCGTAGTAAGAATATTTTAAGATCGGCGAGAGATCCATAGGATGGTAAGCGATGAATAATAGCCAGCTTTCAAAAGACTTAATATCCTTGCAAATACAAACGTCTGTCAGAACTTTTTTTTTAGATAGCATTTGAAAGTCAAATGCACAGATCGTGATATTTGTGTAAGATAAAGCTCGTCTCTCTGTAGTTTTTTTACTGCAAGTTCTAGAATTTGAAGGAATAAAAACATCGTAAAACTTTTAGCAAAACAAGCGAATAAAAGACAGTTATTAAATCTAAATTTTAATTTTAAGTTAATATCAAACTTAACGACGGTTTAAATTTTAGAAGAAATATCAATTCTAACAATGTATGTCGCGTGTCAATCTTGCCGAGTGTGTTAGACGACAGAGTTATAACGTATTTATAATATATAAAGTATTTATATACTTGAGATACATTTTTATTATAATTCTATATATATTGTATATTATATCTCGCTAATCAATCACAAGCAGGACCTTATCATGTTAGCGTTCGCCGTTCGCGGTGTGGTCCTGCTTGGCGTGTTGAGTTGGTATAGCGCCACTGTATGGAAGATGATCGATGGTTACTTCAAGGACCAGTTTCGCGGTTACTTGCAGGACGAATATCGCAAGCATCCGCGGATGAAAGTCGACGTCGAAAGTATCAGGATCGTCGATAAGGGACCCGTTCCAAGCGTGTTGTCGGCCGAGTCAAGTCTTAAATACGGCATCGCGGAGATCTACGATTCTGACGCGACTTGTCCGGTCGACATTATAGACGCTTGTCAGCAAGCAATCGGAGCTTCGAACGGAAAGTCGGAAGAATCGGTGGCACGTGGTACCGGCGAAAACGCGGCCGACACCGTTGGCGTTAGTCCCACCTTTAAAAATGCATTCCCGGAGAACGAATTTCCAGGTCGATCAAAGCTGGAAAGTAGGAAATCATCGAGCGGCAGCGACGAAGAGAATGACGAAGAGAGGCAACCGAGTGCTATCAATCAAAACGGCGATCGTGAGAATGAGGCGATCAAGAAGTCTCCCGCGTCGTACTCGCGTCGTCTCAACGAGAAGAGATTATCGAAAGCCTCGAAGGAAATCTTGAAAGAAAGATCGCGGGAAAAGCCGAAGAAACGAAGAGTAAATAAAATTGTTCTGACGGATACCGATTTTGCCGGCGCGAAGATCAGGAACGATGCAAACGACGATTTCTCAGAGTTCGAAGAAGAGGATGGTCAGAGAGTCCGCGAGGAAGGGATTCTCGTATCTGAATTGCCATTCAAGCCTAAAGCGGACATTGGCGACTTGGATAGGGTTACTGCAGAAGAGTTTTGTCCTCTGACCTTGGAGGACGAGGCTTCCTGCGGAGAAACCACCACGTGGCCGTGACTACGCTTGATGCACCGTCGTTGCATCGTGGAATTGAAAGTATTAGATCGCACGAGAAAAGTTATGCGTTAACAGCGGGATCTCGAAAGGATTAGGGACATGCTGAGAAGAGAGAGAAAGAGAAAACTGAGAATATTATTAGAATAAATCTGTTCAATCAGTTTTGCAGTTCTATTAAAGACACTGATGATAGATGCAGTATGAAAATATTTGAAATCTTCATGTTTTTATTGATGTATTGCAACACTTTTGAAATAAAATAAAATAATGATATATAAGATATAAAATATCATATTATAAATAAACTATAGCAATATATTATGTAGCAATATATCTTGTTACCTTTTTATTTGATAAATTAATTCAACTAGATCTTAACTAGATACAACTTAAATTTGTATTAATATTTTGTCTTTTTAAATCATATATAAAATACATGTTCATATATAACTTGAATTGAATATATATGTATATACATATAATACATTTTCTTTTATATTTCTTGTTATGTCTTTAAATTATCACACTAATCGAGGGTATGTTTTCGCTGCCTAAGGATATTTCGAATCCAGGACAGATATAAGTAATTATGTGAATCGAATAAGGTCACTAAACAGACATCGCTGTCCTTTGACCTTGGGAGAAGAGATTCTACTTTAAGAGGAGAAACTATCGAGTGGCCGTGAGAAGTCAGAGAAATCGCGATGTACGGTGTCGTATTGGCTTTCAACGAAAAAATCGTAAAATCACGCGATTCGTCTGCAGATATCTCATCATAATGTATGCACTGAAGGATGAAAAAAAATTTGATATGTAAATGTTATTATGAACACATTGTCGTGTTATATAAAGATGATAAGATGATAAACATATCAAGTTTCATGTTAATAATTAAATAACACGTGGGAATATAATTTCAAAGAAAACATAAGACCGAGGTAATACATATTCTTAACATTATCACACTTCGTCTATTAGATAATAAAACTCACGAATTACTAATAGTAAAATAATCATATTTTATCTTTTATTCATTGTGCGTGACAATGGAACTCCGTAATTTTAATAAGCGGAAGGCGTATATAATTATGCATACATTTTCGGAGCGGTAGAGGAAATCGCATATTATCTCAAGTAATGAGAGACACATCTATTTTTCTCGCAATATATTTAAAAAAGAGTATTTATGTACTGCGTTTATGTTTCTTTGTACTCGACTGAAGCGATTTTGATTGCTATCATTAAAGTTAATGATTTATCAACGGATATACGCCAACGGTTCATGCAAATCAGCTGTTCCGTTAGTGCAGTTAGGCGCAAATGTAAACACATTGAGAAAATTCATTCATTATTATTGAACCGTAAGAAAAGTTTCTCAAGATTGTTCTGAATACCACCTTTCAGCTTTTAAACTTGTATATTCGTATCATTTTTAAATATGCTTTTTTGTTCCTTCAATGTTATTTAAAAAAATTTTATATACAAGTTTATGTGTGTATATATGTGTATATATATATATATAAAAGAAAAACTTTTTAAATGTTTTACTTGTCTTTGTTAAAAAATCTAATATATTGCTTTTATAGAATGAAACGACACAATATTAATGGCAATTCGATACCTGCAAACTCTGACACATATAAAAGATTATATATTATTTAAAACGTAATTTTGTTTTAGCGGTGGACAAAATATAGAATTGGACGCAAACTATATTGAAGAAACAATTATGATATTCAAAAAATGAATTGCGAATATTTCACGTGGCAGGTCGAGATTTTTGTTTTTTTAATATAATATAATAATATTAT